CTTTCCCTCCTTACTCCTCACAAAGTAATAGCTATCAATAGGGCAAGCCGCCCCCAGGGTACATCTCCAAGTGGTAAAGAGGAGGGTGGAGAAATCTAGCTTTACTTGAGGCTGCTGCGTCAAGGGTTCGAATCCTGAAATATGGATTTGGCTCTTGGATAAGTGCAAGTGGACAAGCAGCCTTCCACCCTGTACCCTTGGAGGCATAACCTGGGATTTACCTCCCTCACGATACTCCAAGGCAGGGGTGGTGGGGGACCATTAAGGTTAGGATTTAACCTCTTTTCTTTTTTTCTTTTTTTTTTTATCAATAGGGCAAGCCAATAAAACAAATGAAGAGGAGAGGGAACCTAACCTTTATATATAAAAAATAATTTGAGCCGTCCCATTACGACTAGAATTCTAATTAAGGTTTATTTCCGGTCCACGTACTTTAAATTACCACATCAAATTAATTACAACTCGTAAGGTGTAAAAGGCCCAATTAATCACTTAATAAATTTGGCCCAAACACAAATATTATTATGAGTCATACATCTAATCCGTAAAATTTTGCAATCGAATGCGAAACTCACATATGGAATTATTAATTATTCCAACAGATACTGCTTCCGGAATGGTATGGACAGATTGCTGAATTCAAATTAACTCGAATATTGTACTTGCATTCTTCGATATTGGAACAAATTCAGCTCCTTATTTTATTCAAGAAGAGATGAGTTTCCACTCTTTCATTGCTGATGTCATTCAACTTCATATTGTAGGCTTTGTTTGCGTTTGAGTATTTGAACAGAAAACGCTAGCATTTAGACCTCTGGTGGCCAGATTGCAAATACTAACAAATGGTTGCTTTTCTATATTTTTCTCTGGTATTCAATAGAGCACGCACTTTGTGGTTAGTTCATGATTTTATAGACTATTTGTCAATTTTATAATGAACTACAATTTGTTGTGTACAACAAGTGTGTGGGCTTGCACATTGTATAAAATTAATAAGAATAATATTAGTTTTGAATTGTGTAAAAAAAAATGAAGAAAAACGTAAGAGAAAAACTAACATTTGATTTAAACATTCATATTAGGTTTCACTAATTTGATCAGCTTGCGCGTTTTAGAGATTTAATTATTTCAATAAGCTATAGCCTTCTTGTTCGGAGAATAAGGAGTTCATACACAATAAGGATGGAAAACATACGCAAATTGTCCAAAAAGTTATAAAATCAATTGAATTTAAAGGAAAACATTGTCATTTTAAAAGTTTCCATAAAATTTTTGTATCATCAAAAGAAAATTTATATCATGCAATATAGGAAAGGAAATATAAATCATGAGATTCCTGATTAAGCTACATCTTATTATGCACCGATAAAAATGCAATTAATAGGAAAAAAATGGATAAATGATGTGTGTAATACGGATGCACATGTATCAGCTCTGGCTTTATATTTTTTGAATCCTTGTTCATGAATAGTATCATTCATCATTTGAGTAGCCTAATATCACTTCTAGATTAAAAATTGAATATTTTGACGATTCAAGCACTTGATAATGAATATCCTGAAAAATACATTTCATCCTTCTTCCTTTTATGATATCCCGTTGGCCAACTTGGCCCTCTTGGAGTTGTGTCCGCCCACAGCACGTTGGACAATTCATTAGCCCACAGCCCCTTTTTCCTTTTCCAACATGATTTTCAAATTCCTCAATGTTGCGTAGCTCATTACCTAGACCCGTAGGGTGTTCGACTGGAGTAACATGAGCTCAATATTGTAACTTTCGCAGAAAGTTTTGAAGTTGTGGTTGTCCAACTACATCTTATTGTCACAACTGTTCAATTTATTTGAAATATTATTTTTTTAATTAATTTATTTATTTACTTTTTACTCTTAAGGGTATTTTATGTGTAGCAGCAGAATTAAATAATTCAACATGAAAGTAGCTTATAATGCTTTTAATATCCAAAATATATTTGAGCATGCCAATTTAGGCCACGAGGAAAGTGTCATTATATCTATTGCTCCGAAAACTACCACAAGTAGGTGACATTTCAAACAAAGAAACACGGTTGAGTATGCAAAAATGTGAACCTATTACTGAAGAATAAACAATGCTGGAACCTCCTGTGGAAGTTCCAGAAATGATATGAAGGACACATTCAATGAGGATCCCGTCCATACAATCAAAATGTAGAACAATGCTACAAATTGTAAAAGCATTATGCAATAGCAAAACATGGAAACCAAGAAAGTAATTTGTCAAAAGGCCTTGCTGCTTTGTGTCAAGAATTTGCTTTATTCCCAATGCCCAAACTGAAAAGCGTGAGTCAACTTCTAGCTAAATGGACACTGGTATACATCATATACAGGGTGTTTGATCGCTCTTAATACAGCCGAAATGCACACATATGAAACAGAAAAGTATCCTCACACCTATCCAAATTTGGCATCGTTTAACAGGAGAGACGGAAGAGTCAATCAAACCACTGAAATACCACTGGATTTTGCTAGGCTTGACAACTGAAGGTGTCCAATACTGATAATGGAAAGATATGAACTGATTGCTGAATTCAAATTAACTCAAATATAGTCTTTACATTCTCTGTCATTAGAACAACATTAAGTCCCTTTGAACATTTTATTCAAGAATAGAGGGATTTTAGCTCTTTTTTTGCTGATGTCATTCAACGTCATATCGTAGGATTTGTTTGTGTCCGAGAATTTTTGCAGAAAACACAAGCACCGAGACCTCTGGTGGCCAGATTGAAAATACAATAGCATAAATGGTTACTTTTCTATATTTATATCTGGTATATTTCTCCAAGTTCACACATTCATGTATAAATGGTATCATAATACCTTGAAAATAATGTTCTCATGCTTAAATATCGGCCAATTCATGATTTTATTGACCATTTGTCAAGGTTATAATGTACTAGAATTTGTTGTGCGAAACACGTGCTTGTGCACGCACATTGCACAAGATTAAAAAGGAAAATATATAGTTAAGACAATGTGGTTATTCAATATCATGAACTTACAGAAGTAGAGCAAAATGGAAACTTTTTGGACAAAAGGGCAACTCTAGAGGGTCATAAAGACCTCTATTGGCTGTTAGAGCATCTTCAAGAGACTCTTTAAATATAAGATGCTCTCTATTTTAAATAGTCAACCTTTAAAATCATGCTCCAATAATCTCTTTAAATTAATACATTTTACTTTAGAGAGTAAGTTTAACTCTCCAAATTCACTCTGTAATTAAATGCATTCAAAATATTTTAATTTTCAATATGGGAAAATAATAGAATAATTTATAGTTAAAATGAAATATAGAGAAAATAATAAATATTTTTCGGGTAGTAAAATTAAGTGATAAATATAAAGAGCCTGTTGGAGTGTTTCAAAATTTTTACTCTTTAAAATTATTGTTGCTATCTAAATGATAGAATATACTCTTTAAAAACAAAGAGTCTATTGAATATGCGCTTACTCCCATAACAGGTTATTCTACAAATGATTTTGGGTTAGAGAAGGCAAGCTCACAACTGAAACCCTATACTATGACTGACGGAAATATATTCTTCACGAGAAAGAAAGCAAAGATTTTTCCAGACTTGGATAGTTTGAAGCCCTGCTGATGCAGGGAGAAAAAAGAAGAACGATTTGAGGATAATATGAGAATTTCGATTAAAGCCCTATAACCAAACTCAATCTAAAGGTTTGTATAGCTTTATGCAAGAGCAATACATGGAAATGCAATAAAGTAATTTGTCAAAAGCTCTTGTTGCTTTGCACCCAGAAGTTACTTAGGTCCCAACTCCCAAACTGAAAAGCGTGAGTCAACATCTTGCTATATGACACAGGGTGATCAGTAATGATTTATGTCATTGGTTCGCTTTTAATACAGCCAAACGCCCACATACGAAACATAAGAGGCATTCTTCACACTTTATCCCAACTTGGCATCTTTAACAGGAGAGAAGGCAGATTCAATCCAATTACCGAATACTACCATATTTTGCTAGGTTTGACAACTGAAGGTATCCAATACTACTTCAGGAAACGTGTGAACTTATTGTTGAATTCGAGTAAATTCAAGTTAACTCGAACATAGTATTTACTCTCTCCATTATTGGAACAACATTCAGCCCCTTTGTACATTTTATTCAAGAGGAGAGAGGTTTTCACTCTTTTCTTGTTGATGTTATTCAACGTCATATTTTAGGGTAGATTGTTCTTGGTGTACATCACCAAGTACATGAGAGTGACACCCGGCGCGTGCTTAGAGTCCATTATGGACACCTTTATATACTCCTCTATGTACACTAAGATTAATCCTTTTAGGATTTGTATGCGTCAAAAAATTCGAGCATCGAGATTCTTGGTGGCCAGATTTTACAATAGTATAAAAGGTTACTTTTCTATATTTCATAATATCTTGAAAATAAAGTTCCATGCTTTAAATTGTGGCTAATTCAAGATTTTATGGACTATTTGTCAAGTGATAATGACCTACTTATTTTTTGGCATTGAAAAACTGCTAAATGGAAAGTTCAAAATAACAGGTCAAAGATGGTGATTAAAAACGAATTTAATAATCGGATAATTTATCATTTTATCCCCATTTCAATGTGACCTTTTCAACTTATTTCCAGGCTACATTCTTTACTTGCCTTGGCATGTTCTTGTTACTGTTTCGAAATATAGATGCCAAACTTCGCATCACAATTATCAGATTGAAAATCTGTTAAATGACTAATCCAAAATAACTAGTCATTTTAGGGTTCTTAGACAAAATAACCTCAAATTTATTTCATATTCAAAATAATATTAAGGCCTGACAGATTAATACACATCTATGTTTTAAATGTTTTATGGATAGAAAACTGAACACAGGCATCTTAATTGCAAACAAGTTCGCCACCTACATTAAAGGATCTATAGAAAACATGGTAAACCTCACAACAAAATAATATAAGAGTCTCCATAAAAAACAAGACCATATAGAGAAATTGAACCGCAATCCATTGCTGAATTTCATTTATTAACAAGTCACAGAAGCCATGAATCCAAATGTATCTGGAAAATTAGCATCTCAAACTAAGTTAAGCTGGCCTGTGCATAATAGACTTGACCAGGTCTAAAATACGAAAATAATCATAAAAGAGTGATGACTCTTTGCCTTCCAATCCGTCCCTGCTCACTCTGTTGCTACCCGCGAGATTGTTGCAAGGACTTCCACCGACGATGAGATCAAAACCACCAACATAACTTATCACTTCCTCGAGTCGCTCCCCATCCAATGCCTGGACGTCATCAAAGTCAATTAAATTTCCAGCCTGATTTGTTTGCTCCCACCAACTCCTAACTATATCTCTATTAACTTTGGACTTCTCAACTGAAACTACATTCTTCAATTTAATTCCTAGTCGATGAAGTGCTACTTCTGCACCGCCAATTCCAGAAAAAAGGGATAAAAGGTTTATGCCGTCTGGGAACATGTCCTTGAGGACCGAGAGATGGTATGCCACAGTGTCAACCTATATATGGAATATCGAAAGCAATATTATCAAGATTATTTTTATAACGACAAACTTTACTAGACAAGTTATGCATACATGTCAATGACTCAATATGCCATCTTACTTTTGTAAAAAGTAAAATGTTCATTAAATAAAAAGTTATAAGAAATAAAGTTGCAGAGAAAATATAATGCTTACCTGGAAGGAATTACCCAGTGATTTATATCTGTCAGTCCTACTTATCCCACCTCCCCTTGTATGGTTCTTCGGGAACCCCAATAACATTTCCATTTCATCAGGCTCTAGAGGGGCCACCTTGTTCCTCCCTACCCAAACCAGATTCCATTTGCGGCATTCATCGAGAACAGACTTTTGCACAGAGGTAGGTGGATCACCATCAAATCTCTCAAGAGCATTGCGAATTCTCTCAGTTAGTTTTGCACTCCCAATGGCAGTTTGAATGCAGTTCAGTTTTTCTCGAGGATCCCATTGGGGCCACCATTTCCTCGACAATGGAAATGCTTGCTGGACGGTGAGTGGGGGAAGAGGAACAAGAGGGAATCTGTTTTGAACTGGTAAGTTATGAACATAGCCTCTTTTCCTCGCCGTAGCACAAAAATACTTAGAATCAACGAACTCCGGTTCAATGTCATTCAAAAATCTTGAAATAGTGTCCCAGACTCCCTTCGGGGCTAGAGCCACATTTTCATAATAGAAAAAAGGAGGGCCAATCGCAGAATCAGGAAGAGATCGATTAATACTCTCAAGCTGCAGCGATGGTACACCAAATCCTATCATTGGGTTAGGCAGGCGTATTGTCTCAGTCTCAGGATCATTTTTCTTTTTACAAATCTCAAAGAACTTTCTCTTCTTGATCTTGCAAACTCCATTATATCTTGGCTGTGAAAGGCATGGGATAAGACATGTCCCTTAAATCCACAACTAGAGTAAATGTAGAAGCTGTAAATCTGAACATAATTGGCAGAGCTTTCATTGAGTTTTAACTTCGTATAATAAATGAGAAAATAACCTTGAGGTCATCATCTGGTAGATAAACATCTGCTTCCCTTGATAATTGAGCAGCACAAATAAAATCAGTTAATTCGACAACTGAGGCTTCTGGACCTGCAAAAAATGAGGAAGGTTATATAAATTAGCATGAAATGAGCAAATCATGTGGTGGTTATTCCTAGCATCCAAAGACAAAAGCTTTCGATATTTGGATCCAGCAAGCAAAACCTGTTGCAAAGGGAACCACAACCAATCTACATGGATTCAACATCATGTCTTCCCTTGTATGTAAGCATGAGTGCGCATGAGCAAGTGCCTCTGAATGTGTTATAAATTATAGAATCAAGCTGTAATACCAAGAATAGAAGACAGTTTACTCTGATGATATAACCATATCTGCATGGATATTTCGATGGTTACCGGCAAAGGAAAGAAGTGATGCCTTCTTTAACACCAAAGGATTAGTTGTCTAGTATTCCATCAGATCATATAAGAGGTGTCTATCTAAAATTGTCAACATAATTTTTAACATAAAATTTGTAAATCATGAAAGTTGCAGATAAATTCCACCTAGAATCAGTTATATTACTCATTAATAACTGAAGTAACCAACAGTATTAAAGACAAGCAATTGGAAAGGAGTCAATTGTTCATGTAGAGGAAATCGTCTATACAAGTAGGAGTGTGAATAACAGAGGGAAATACATCATGAGGAAGAAATTAAAGCTGATAATTGGTTTAAAATCACCATCAACCAATAATATCTTCTGAAAAAGAACTTGGGAACAAAATAGCTGAAATCGGGAAATGCATACATTTTCTAGGGAAAGGGAACTCTAAAGAGAAATGTGATCGAAGCTTCCCAAATGGAAGGAAGTTTAATTGATCAATCCCACACATAGAGACCACATACCCCAACACCAACAAATAGGTAACTAAATAGGAAAAAAGAGAAGGGCTGATATGAGAGGCTCAACAAATACTCCCACCATCTTATATTCATTGCAAGATTTTCATTTTTGACTTGCCTCACAATATTGTCACCTTTCCCTAAATGTCATCCTCATTCTTCCAAACCATATTTCAAACAGCCATTTTTTAACAAGCAGGGCATATTTCAACTTAAATTGATAATTAACAATAACACTCATGCCATGTACAACAAAATAAATAAATGGGGAACCTCAGTACAAAGTATTTAAGAATAATAATAATAATTGCATGTAATAGACTACAAAACTTTTGTCCCCAATATGTTGTGGAAACTTATACTGCAGCCAAGGGGGAAAATAAGTGGGGGGTAAGGAAAGACTGAAAATGCAACCATGCATTCTCAGTTCTCAGAATCAACAAGTTGTGCGATAACAGATAAGTAATTACTGAAATATTGTATAGAGCATTAACATGAAATAGTTATTGATGGAGGCAGACAAACAGACAATAATCAGTAACATTTCACGTACGCACCACATCTTTCCATTGCTATTGAACACTCTTCTACAGTATATCCCATTTTAGCTAACAACAGCAACATTTTCTCCTTCTCGGACAAAGATCCTGTGCTTTCCAAGGACAACAACCTTTTGTGCTCCTCAGAGAGAGAAGTACTGTCCTGAAAGGGGATCTTTGCATTAAAATACAACTGTACTAAATGCAAAAAAAAGGTGAAAAATGCTTTAAAAAGTCTAATGATATGCTGGTCTAAATTGCTAAAAAAATCCATGATCATCGCTGAACTTTCATTAACATTTTGGTTAATAAAGACGTGAAAGAAAAATGGTCTGTGTGCAAAAGAGAAAACTGTCAAAGCAAAACCATTAAAAGTGAATTTAAGTAACACGATAATACTTAAGATTATAATCATAGCTTTTCAGTTTTCAGACTACAAACGAGTGGAACTACTCGATTCCTCTACCACTTGTTCATCTTTTATTGGTTGTTTAAATTTGACAATTTTCCATTTTTCTTCTATCAGTATATTTAAGTTCATATTTTTCATTGCTCTATGCCTTCTGAAATGTTGAAACTGGAATCCAATATCATCCACATTTAATCATACCTAAGATTCAACAATTCTGTTGAGCTTCATTTTGTAAACCAAAATACTATATGATGTCTCCCTTCCAGTTCTATTATAATTAGTTCGAGGTGATGAAAATGATGACTAATAATCTAGACTAGTTATTTCTTAGCATGTTAAAGAAGAGAAATAGGCATCAATATTCAGTGAGTGATACATCCCTCTAAATTAATAAAACAGATTTAAATATTTTACTATGTGGGCATGCCATGGTCCTTATTAATATAAAAAACAGATAATGTGCATATTTAAAAACAAGAAACAAATGGTGTACGTATTTTCTTGATAGAAAGTTATAACTTTTTGCAACCAATTACTACAAAATTTTAAGCGATAATGGATGCACTGAGCTTGACTCTGATAAAAAATGTCAGAAATTTTATGTTATACTTGTGCAGCAGAAAATGTCAAGAAAATGATAAATGAGAGTTTTTGCCAAGCATTACATACTTCTGTTTCATTTTCAGACCAACCATCCATATCAGAGAGATCACACAGAAGGTTCTCATCATAGTCTGAAAAGATCGGATCAGAATTGACACATAACTGTTGGGGAGGAGATTCTTCAAGAGTCTGCAATACAACATGGATTATAAACCTACATAGACTACTCGGAGAGAAATTGAGAAAGTTCACATGACTTGTAACATGGGACCATTTATTATGCACTTTTAGCAGTCATTACTCACTGAATACGTCAGTAGGGTGTTCAGTATCGAGTCTGTATCTCCTCCTCCTGCATGGCAATCAGATAAATTAGACACTTATCATATCCCCTAGTCTTAGCCCCTGTTTGGTTTTGCTAAAAATCATATTTTTCGTAGATTTTGATAAAAATTGATGAAATATGTAATTGAAAAGTTGATAAAAGTTGTGGATCTCATAATATATGTGGTGTTTGGCGAAAATGAGTTTTAAAAAATGGAGGGCAAATAGGGGCATAAATAGAGTGACAACGTATATACCATTTTCCTCTATCGCCTTTAAAACCAATTTTTCTGAAAACCCCATCCCAACAAAATGGTTGACCAACTTGGAATCGGAAACAATTGCTGATGAGTTTTCCTGCACAGTGGGTAGTGATTTAACATGTCAGAATATGCAAAAGTTTGCAATGATGTTGAAATGATCAATTCTTGCACTTGTTGGAATTAGAAGCTTCAAGCAGCTGGTGTATCAGGGCAAACAATTAGCATTTCAATGCTACTACTCAATATACTACAAATGGTAATAAAAGGATTAAGTAACAGAAATGAGAAGAAATCCTCTAAAATGTTGCGCTAAAGAGCAAAACTGAGGGAATGTTTGGTAGAAGAGAAGGAGAAGAGGGATGGAAAGTCCAGCATTGAATGTCTCATCCTTTGTCGAAGGAAAGCGACTTCCTCTCCCTTATTCGCTATGGTCAATTGCATAATTATATTGTTGAAGACTTTTCACATGTAAGAAATTCCCCATTCACCTCATGTCCCAGCTTTTCAATTTTTCTCAAACAAGGGAAAGACAATTTCCCTTCTACTTTCCACTCCCTCCCCTTTGCATAATAATAAAGAAAGCCTCAAGAAGATTGGCAAGCCATTAGATGGCAAAAAAAGGACCAGAGAAGCTATTCTCTCTCTTCAATAGGTTTCATGAGATCAAGCTGTCAAACGTCATTGAACAAGTTGATGAAACTGTCCTTAAATATTAGTGCAAGGTGAACACTCTCTTCAAATAGGGACCAATTTCCAAAATAACGCATTTGAAGAGTCTCATACAACATATATTATGTACAGGTTTTGCATTCAAGGTCAGAAATTGGGGTTTGTCTGTACAATATATATATAAAAGGCCCAAAGTTGGAGAAACATTTTTTGGCAAATGCCTTTGTTGATATTCAATAATTCCTATTTCGACCTTCAGTCAACAATATTTTATAATTAATATTATATTTTATAATTAACTATTGGTGTATTGTCCTCTCAAATTCCTTATGATACGCTTATACTTTCCCAATTCTCTTTTTGTTTTGTGTGTCCTTATGAAAACTTCATATTAGCTTTTGACCCTTCGGTTTCAGACTTGAAACGGACATGCAAACTTAGTACTTATTCTCCATTTCAATGGGCATGTTGCTTACTGGTTCAGGTAACACCTCCCCCCTTTTATGTTTGCAACCCAAGTGTAAACAATAAAATGTACTAGAAAAAAACCTACCTGCCATGAGACAATGTAATTCGATAGTCCGAGTACCTTGAGTCAGTTTATCAGATAGTAAAATGATAAAGACAGATACAGTTGTTTTTCTAAAAGTCAAAAGATGTAATGCAGCAAAACAGAGACAAAGTAGTGCGTCGTTATTGAGGAATTTTGATGGAACAGTCATACATGACTGAACAAAACGCCATATTTTGAGCAATGCGCTGAACATCAAATAGTTTTGAAGATGAGCAATGATAGAGTAGTGAAATTTTGTTTCAACTATAACAATAGATCCATTAATCCATACGTGGTGAAGCATTTAATAGAATCGATATACAAACCTTAGGACTTACCCCTCCATTACCAGCAGAAGCTTCCGTACCATGGGTTGCTAAAGTCAGAGAAGAAGAAAATGTTGTGTATTCTTGAATTTCTAGCTCATCATCAGTATTCCAGTCAATGCTGCCGCTATCTTCCCCAGATGCACTTTTGTCCTGCACACTTACATTGTTCACGTACAACAGGATATATAATAGTATTGCTAAAAATGATAACAATAGCTATCAATAACCCTAGTAATGTAACGGGATGATATCAACACTGCATTTGTGAATTAGTAAAAATCACAAGCAAAGTGAAAATATAAATAAGCAAGTGAAAAACAGATTGAGAGTACATTTACAAGAGAATGAACTACCATATCCTCCTAAGTTTGACAAAGCAAAAGATCCCCAATCTGTACAACAAAATTTTAACTCGGGTCAGAATCCAATTGATGCAATCAATTAAAAAAATCAAAACGTGTTTTCTTTCTGTTTAAAATGGGTCGTTAATTAGTTGCAAAGATTAGATGAAATTGCGGGTGTAAAATTTACAAGCATTTCTCTCCTTCCCTTGTGTGTTCCGCCTTTAAATTAAGATCTATAAAAATTTTAATAAATGAATAATTTCTTAAGTAACAGAAATAGATTCCAATAGTACTTACAAAAAAATTATCTCAGAAGCTAAAATTCAACATAATCCCGAAGCTGTTATCTTCGAACAAAATTGATACCACGCCTCTTTTTATGAAAATCTGAAACGAAACATGATAATCAATTCAACAAATTAAGAAAAAAGATTATTAATTCAGGAAAACAAATAATTGGAAACCAGAGTTCATAGAAACGGAAAACAAATGGTTAAGCGAAATACAGTAAACAGATACCTACATAGAAATTTGAGAAATTAGACGGAGAAAGGGAGAAATGAGAGAGAAAATGAGAAAAATTCTTAACCGGAATAAGAGATTCTCCTCTCTGCCGAGAAAGAGTCAAGAGCCCCAAGCACAAAGCAGGAGGGGCCTTTTGGTGTATTGAGTAAAAATCTGTGCAGCACTGACAATAAAATGGATTTGAACTTACGCGCCTAGGTGAAATTATAATTGAAGATTTTCACATTTTTATTTTTAAGAAATTTCAGGCCCAGTTTGGTACTCATTTTTTTCAAAATACATTTTTTTCTCTCTTCTTTTCAATCAGACATTTTTCATTAAAATAATATTACACGTAAATCAAAAATTTTCCTTATTTTTCAACCACATATTTCACATCAATTTACTATTTCAAAATGCATTTTTACATAAAAATGACTCTCAAACACTTTCTCTCAATAGTGTGCGCCACTCAATCCAAATATACGAGACAGAAGTCTTGACTCGAATCAGATTGAGTTAATATTCGAATCATAATTCGATTAAGTTCTTCAAGTAAAATTAAGTAATGTATATTACAACAGGCAATAGATAAATTTGAATAAGTTTTGTTCTAGACCCATGAACGAAAAATCAAGCCTCCTAAATTTTATTTGAGTCTTGATTATCAAACCTATTTTTTTCTAAAAGGAAATTGCCTAATTTTACCCAAAAAAAAAAAATAATAATAATAATAAAATAAAATAAAATTGGTCATTCGTATACAATAGTGAATGAGTTTTATTAGATAACTTGTTATTTGTATTTTTAAAATTAGACTGTATTTATATGGTAAGATAGAACATATCATTTGTTATGTTTCGTGTTGTATTAAAAGAATGAAAATAGTTTTTCGAACAATAGAACATTAAAAAGTTTAATTGTGATGTGAATTGAACGATTCAATTACAAAGTTACAATTGGACACGATGTTCCATTTACAAGATACTTGGTAACTCTTGATTCGATTCTCTTAAGAATTGAACCGTCCTCACTCCTAATTTTAGGGACTATTGGTGAAAAAGGTAAAGAATTGTACAAGTTAAAAAGACCAAAGTTTAGTGCGGAATTATACTCAACCTAATTTTCACGCAACATAAATCCATACATCTTTTTTGGTCCAAATTTGTCATGAAAAAATGATAATTCTTGCGTAGCATACAGAATAATGTCGGTCATCCAACCCTAAACATTGAGAAAGTACATTTACAATTTTCTCATTACTTTTCTTTTTCAAAACAAATGATGATTTGTGAAGTCGTTATAAACTTTAATGTATAATTAGACTACGAAATTGGTTCAGTTACCATTTTGAATTTTTTTACAAATTTCTGTGACCATAGGTAAAATTAAATCTTTAAAAAATTTTTATCTCAAGGTTGTTTTGTTTTGTTTTAATTTGAGAGGAGAGCTCCCGAGCTCGCATGAAGTGAGAGCATTTTTTAATTATTATTGGCGCATT